GAAGCAATACCCATCAGAGGATGAATTAGCTCTTTATCACCATAATGAAGTGCCTGTGGCAACTAACTTAGAAAAGGTTTATTTTGGCTTATGATTCTAGGGTTTCTAATTTAAGATTGAGGGACCTTATGGCTTTGGGCCTCTGACAAGGATGGTACATCATGATGGGAGCAAGTGTCAGAGCAAATGACTCCACTCATCAGCCAGGAAGAAAAAAAAAAAAAAAAATGATGAGCTGGAGTCCCATAATCCCATTTGAGGGTATATCCTAAGGATCTCTTAAAGACCCTGCCTCCCAATAAATCTAGTCTGGGGATCAAGCCTTTAACACATGGATCTGTGGGGAACATTGAACAGCCAAACTATATAGCAGAGGACAATGGAATAACTTTTTAAAGTAGTGCTTTTAAAAAGCAAATGTAACCTGGAATTCTATATTTAAAACAAATGAGAAGCAGGGCCTGGTGGCAAATACCTGCTACTTAGGAAGCTAAGACAGGAGGATCACAAGTTTGAGGCCAGCCTGGGCAACTTAGAGCCTGTCTCAAAATAAGGGCTGGAGATATAGTTCAGTGGTAGGGCACTTGCCTTGCATGTGCATGGGAATAGGTTTCATCCCCAGTCCTAAAAAAAATTTTTTTTTTCTGATAGGCAAAAGCAAAGACAGTTTTCTATACCAGACTTTTATCATAAGAAATGCTTAAAGAAATTGTGTTGAAGCAAAGTAATGATAAAGGAACCTCAGATCTAAAGGAAATAATGACTTGTACCAGGAAGAGTAAATATGTGGATGAGAGGGACCTTTTAAAAAGTTCCCTTTCTGGGGGCTGGGGATGTGGCTCAAGTGGTAGCGCGCTCGCCTGGCATGTGTGCAGCCCGGGTTCGATCCTCAGCACCACATACAAAACAAAGATGTTGTATCCGCCGATAACTAAAAAATAAATATTAAAATTCTCTCTCTCTCCTCTTTCACTCTCTCTTTAAAAAAAAGTTCCCTTTCTGAATTCTCATGTTCATTAAATTCATTAATTTTAACAATTAATATTGTTAAAATGGCCATACTACCCAAAATAGTTGATAGATTCAGTATAATTCCCATGAAAATACCAGTGACATTCTTCATAGAACTAAAAAATCCTAAAATTTATATGGAAAAACATAAGTTTCTGAATAGCCAAAGCAATACTGAACAAAAAGATCAATACTGGAGGCATCCCAGTACTTGATTTTAAAACATACTACAGAGCCATTGTGACAAAAACAGCATGGCTTTGGCCTAAAAACAAGCATGTTGACCAATGGAACAGTGTAGAGGACCCAGAAATAAATCATACATCTTCAGCCAACTGATTCTCAACGAAGGTGCCAAAAACATGTATTGGAATAGAACAACCACTTCAACAAATGGTGCTGAGAAAACTGGACATTCATTCATAGAAGATTGAAACTCGAACCCTCTCAGCTTACATAAAAATCAACTAAAAAGTGAATCAAAGACTCTAGTGGAAGACCTGAAACTTTGAAACCACTAGAAGAAAACATAGGGAAAACACTTTAAGAAATTGTCATAGGCAACAATTTCCTGGTTAGGTCACCAATAATTCAGGAAATAAAAGCAAGAAATGATAAATAGAATTACATGAAATTAAAAGCTTCTGCACAGCAAAGAAAACAATCACCAGTGAAGAAACAACCTACAGAATGCAAGAAGATCTTTGCTAGGTAGTCAACTGACAGAAGATTAATATCCAAAATATTTAAAAATCTCAATATAAAAAATGAATAACCTGGGCAGGGACTATGGCTCAGTGGTAAAGCACTTGTCTAGCATACATGAGACACTGGGTTCGATCCTTGGCACCACATAAAAATAAACAAAACAAAATAAAGATATTATGTCCATCTACAACTAAAAAAACATCTTTTTTTTAAAAAATGGATAATCCAATCAGGGAATGGCCAGATGATCTGAATAGACACTTCTCAAGAGAAGTACAAATGGCCAATAAATGTGTGAAAACATATAGTCTATTCATTAACCACAATAGAATGAACCAGACATTAAAAGCAGAAGGAAAACTGAAAAACACTGCTTATTTGGAAATTAAATACTACTCTGAAACAGTGAGATAAAGAAAATGGAAATACTTTGAAATGGAAATGAAAAACAACATATCCAAACTCATGGGATTCTGTGAAAGCAGTGCTCAGTGGGAAATTTATTCTTGTGAATGCCTACATTAAAAGAGAAGAAAGAAAGAAAGACATCAAATCAATAACTTTATACTTCAAGGACCTAGAAAAGATTAATTGAGATAATTTAGTTAGTTCATCTAACTGTTCTTACAAGAGCTTGGAATACAGGAGGCACTTATTAAATGCTAGTCTCTCACCATAAAGAGTCCTCAGTGACACTACTTTGAAAATAAGTGGGGCTGGGGTTGTAGCTCATGGTAGAGTGCTTGCCTAGTATGTATGAAGCACTGGGTTCGATTCTCAGCACTGCATATAAATACATAAAGGTCCATGGACAACTAATAAAAAAATTGGAAAACAAATATAGGGTTCCACTTACAACACTATTTCCATTTCTGCATTTTGGTGAAATGTGAATTTTTTCCATTAAAAATAGCAGATATTGCTCATATACCATAGGTTTCACATAATTAAAATATAAAAATTAGTTTTAGTACATTTGACAAATTGTATGACTATCAAAACTGTCTAATTCAAGAACATTTTCATAACGCCAACCCATTCATTAGTATTCACTGCACAGTCCTAAGCAATCACTACTACACTTTTTGCCTCCGTGGATATACCTTTTTTAGACATTCAGTGTAAGTGGAATCATATGATATGTCACCTTTTGTGTCTTTTCTTTTAGTAACATAGTGTCTTCAAGACTCATTCCTATCCTAACATGTATAAATACTTCATTTTATTGCTAAATAGTATCCTGTTGTATGGTTATCACATTTTGTTTACACATCCATCAGCTGTTGGATGTTTGAGTTGTTTTACTTTTTGCCTATTATGAATGATGCTGTCCTACTCATACAAGTTCAAGTGTTAATTGCAAATAGAATAACTGATAACTGGGTCTTATAGCAATACAGTGTTTAATCTCTTCTTTCTTCCTCCTTCCCTTCCCTCTTCCACTCCTTCTCTCCTTTCCTCTCTCTTCTCCTTCTCTTCCCACCACTACCACTACCACCACATAGGACCTCATACATGCTAGGCAAGTGCTCTACCACTGAGCTACAGTCACAATCCTTAACCTCTGTGGAGCTCTCAGATTATTTTCCAAAGGCGACATCATTTTACATTCTCATCGGCAGTGTATGAGGGCTGGTGTTTCTCCACATCTTGCCATTACTAAGTATCTGTCTGTTTAATTTTATTTATTCACATGGATGTGAAGTATCTTGTTGTGGCTTTGACTTACACTTGCCGAAGATGAATGATATTGGACATCTTCTGTGAGTATTGACCATTTAGATACCTTCTTTGCAGAATTGTTGATTTGGAATCTTTGCTCATCTTTCAATTGGGTTGTCTTTTTATTGTTGAGGTATAGATACCTTGTCATACATATGATTAGCGATTTTTTTTCCTATTTTGTGATTTCTTTTCACTTTCTGTGCTCTTTTTGCTACCTTGATACCCTTTGAAGAACAAAGGTTTTAAATTTTGATGTCCAACAATCTATCTTCAGATTATGTCCTTTGGGTATGATAACAGCTATGAAAGCTTTGCATAATCTAGCAACTCAAAGTTTTATGCCAGTGTTTTCTCCTAAGGATTAGAGTTTTAGCTCTATTTATTAAGGCCTCTGTTGCATATTGAGTTAATTTTTTGTGTGTGATTCAGGAAGGAGTCCAACTTCATTGTTTTGCATGTGGGTATCTAGTTGGCTTGGCACCATTTCTTAAAAAGACTATTCTATTCACCATTTAAATTAATTTCCCACAAATGTAGGAGTTTATTTTTAGACTCTTTATTCAGTTGATCTATTGATCCTTATGCCAGTACTACAGAGTCTCAGTTCCTTGCTGTAGCTTTGTAGTAAAAAAAAAAAAATTTTTTTTTAAATTAAATTTTGTTGTTTTGAGATGGAGTCTTGCTATGTTTCCCAGGCTGGTCTTAAATTCCTAGGCACAAGTGATCCTGTTTCCTTAGCCTCTCAAATAGCCATGATTGTAGGTATAAATCACTACACAGTGCAGCTCTGTAGTAAAATTTGAAATCAGAAAGTTTGAGTCCTCCATCTTTATTTTTCTTTTCAGGATTTTTTTTTTAATCTATTTTGGGTCTCTTGCATTTCCATGTGAACTTTTAGGATCAAGTTGTCACTTTTAGTAAAAAAGGCAGTTAGGATTGATAGGGATTGCATATAATCTATGAATCAGTTTGGGAAGTGGTGTTGTAGTATATAACACTATCAAGTCTTCCAGTTCATAAACGTGGATATTTTTCAATGTATATCTTTAATTTTTCTGAATGTTTTATATAAGTTTTCAATATGGAAGACTTGTACTGTTGAACTTATTCCTAAGTATTTATTTAGATCCTGTTATAAATTGGATTGCCCTATTTAATTCATTTTTAGGTTGTTCTTTAATAACATAAATTTGTATATTCTGTCACCTTACTGAACTCCTTGATAAGTTATAATTGATTTTGTGGATTTTTAGAATTTTCTATATATAAGATCATATCATCTGCAAATAAAAGTTGTTTTATGTCTTGCTTTCCAATCTGGATGGTTTTTATTTCTTTTTCTTATCTAATTGCCTTGGCTAGAACCTCCAGTACAATGTAGTACACAAATATCTGAGTGTTGCTGTTTTTGTGAAAGGGTGATAGGTTTCATGAAATTAGTATCATCTTATTTGTAGGACAATGATTGAGGCTGTTCTGATCCAGTATGAAAAACATGTAATTTTTTGTTGTTGTTGATGGAGGAATAATTTCATAATTTTTATTTTTTCTTTCAGGTTTTCTCAAATAGTGATGAAGGCCTTATTAACAAAAAGTTGCCCAAAGAACTTCTCTTAAGGTAAGTGTAGATAAATTTTAGATAAAAGAGTTCAGGTTTGATTCAGTTATCAAGTTCCAAGACTATCTTCTTTCTCCCTGAGTCCATAGCATAGAAAGACAGAATTAGCCTAACCGACTTTTTGTTTTTGTTTTATAGAATGCTGTTCAGCTTGTTGTTAAATTTTACTTGGTCTAATCCAGAATGTACTAGAGTATGTACATAGCATTGGTCTGGATTCTTTTTGTAATGTGGTAAGTATTGTAATGATCTTCAGTAGGTGCCATTGTTTTGGTATGAGTAGATAATCATGATTAATAATATAAGGAAAGATTATTGCTAAAATTATGAGTTCTTGAAGTCAGAGAGTTTTAGATGTTGTCTGATAAATGGGTTTTAAAATAAGCACAGTTATGGTATGTTCTTACCGAGTACTTCAAATGCTGTCAGTCTCAAATATTGCTATATTTTTTATCAATATGAGAAGTGTGTGCTAAGTGACATGAGTACTATAAAACAGGCTTTTGTCTTTCTTTCATTACTAAATATACAGTAAATTTTATTTTGATTGTCATTTTATCAAATAAAGCTATCAGCCAACATTTGTTGGGCATGGTAGCACATGCCTGTAATTCCAACTTCTCAGGAGGCTGAAGCAGGAGGATTATAAGTTCAGGGATAGCCTCAGCAGCTTAAGGAGACCTTGCCTGAAAATAACTTATTAAAAGGGGCTGGGGATGTAGCTCAGTGGTAGAGCACTTGACTAGCATGTGCAAGCCCCTGGATTCACTCCCTAGTACCCAAAAATTTATCTGAGGCACTGCAACTTTCTTTAGTATTTTACAATCACCAAAGAGATCTTATTTTAGTTTTGGATGCTGTTACATTTTAATTATTTAAGAAATAATTTATATACACAATAATCTTTGAGTAACCTTTGCCAAACTGTTTGTCCTGTTGGTGATAACCCACAAAACAAATAAAAACTGGTTCTGTGATCACATAAGTATGGGAAACTATGGGTTAACAAAACCAATTCCTTGACTACAGGACTTCTTAGAGACTTAATAGGTTAATGTGCGTGGTGATGTTCCAGGTTGGGTGGTTGTGGCATTTCAAACTTATCAACAATGAAATCCTCTTAATAGTCCACAGAATAATTTTTAGGAAATGCTGACATACAATAAGAGATGGACTAAATGATTCTACTTCCTGACTATACTCAATCTTTTAAAAAACATTTTGGGAATGAGTGTAAATTTTCTTTAAATATTGGGAATAATTCCTTAATCTCTTCCTGAGTTCACCCAGAGTCACTCTGTAAATGCCAGATTACTCAACTTTGCTGTCATCAGTATGCTAGACTTTTTACCTTGAGTCAGAAACAGGGTGAGAATTTTAGCTTCTTTGTGGCAGTGATCACATTTGGGGGGCTTCGGAGTATCTGTCATTAGTCATCAGATGTTGTTTGGCACTGTTGTTATGAGCTCATTCTACTCAGTTAATAAAGAAGAAAATTAACTGACAAAGGATTATATGAAAATGATCATATTATATTCTAATAAAAACTATTTGGATCAAAATATTCTTTGGCATCTTAGACCATTTTAAACTAAGAAAGTGATGACAAAGAAGCAATGTATAGGAATGTGTGTTTACAATACAAACTTGCAAGACCTTGGTCATGCACAATAAACTGTTGGAATCAATGTGGCTAAGTCAGGGTGCACAAATTGTCTGTACAACTTCATGGGATACCACCCACAGAGACTGTAATATGGACGATGTCCCCTAGAATTATGCATTGCTTCCAGCCTTGTTGTGAACATTTTTCTAGTACAGGCATCAAGCTGCAAGTATGAATATTGAATTGTTACTCTGGGGAATCATAACCAGCTCAAGCAGATAGAGTACTAGTAATTCAACACTAGGGTGTGATTCAGCTCCACCCTTCTCATGAGAGCTGCTGCTATTTGTGTCTCAAGTCTACTATTTGAAATTGTTTCCCTTCTGGTTTAGTTAGATTTTAGTTTATTTAGCCATGGAACATTTTCTGTTTATACCCAAAAAGTAAAATAAATAAAATAAAAATAAGTAATTATATCTCTTTCTGTAGTAGCCTGATTTTTGAACTGTATTCTAAGGAATTTTGGTGGGGGGGGGTGTTGTTTGTTTTTGTTTCTGTTCTGGGGATTGAACTCAGGGCCTTATGCATGCTGGGCACTTCCTCTACCAATGAGCTGTACTCCAAATCCCAAAGTTTCAGTTTTTTTTTTTTTTAAAAGATCCACAATGGGCTCATCACTAGTAATAACTTTTGAATCATGCCACAAGGTTCATAAATAGATTAACATATCTTCATAGGTTTACATTTTCATTCTGTTCTTATTTCAGAGTCTGTAAGGGCAATTTAAAATTTTGAGTACTACCATAACAAGTCTTTCCTGACTTGGGAGTGTCAAAATTAACTCTAGCCATATTTTTATTTTTAAATGTTTTGGTGGCTTTTAAATGATTTCTGCCATTAAGTTAGACTTTCCATTCCTCTTACTGTCCTTTCCTTGCTATCGTTTTTATGCAAAATTTGGAAGAAAGTTTGAACCAGGTTACCTAAGTTGCCATCTTCTTCATAGGTTAATTCTACATAGCAAGTGCATCCAAGTCCCCATCTAATGGACCTTAAGTCTTGATTATTTTCTGTTCAGGTAAATGATGCCTTCATATTTTTCCTGGGCTTACCCCTTTACTTTATATTGTAGACTTGTATGACAGTGAAGACTTAACATTTCAAATCTTGTTGAATTCCTATCCACCTTCAATCTCACTTCATGGATGGATGTGAATTCTTTGAATTATGATATTCTTGTTTGCTTGCAGTTCAGGTCATGTTCTCTTCTGCTATTTTTGGTTGCATTTGTTACCATCCTATTAAGTTCTTCACTAGCTTTAATGCTAATGTCAAGAGAAGTCTCTCCTTCTCCTTTGAAGCCATTAACAAGCATAACCTGGAATAATATGCTTATTTTCATCTCTTTAATTTCACTTTGAATCCACTGAGAAAAATTAGTGTTTTCTTTTTATCTGATCATTTTATTGCTAATTTAAAGAATACTTAATTTACACATTTCTATTACCCATTTTCTAGTTTGTTACTGTTTTTAAAATTTTAGTGTTTCTATCCAGCTTTCACTCATAAACTAAAGATCCTCAAGTTCTATTTTCACTATTATATACTCAACAAACAGGATGTAGATTTTTTTTCTCCCTGAGGAGTTAGTTATATAATGTTTATAATAATGAGAATATTTGTTATCTGTATCTATTAGTGAGTTGGATTGTCCTTACATATACTTGTTCACATTTTATTCTCTATTATTTTTGGAGCTACACTTTCTGGATTGAGATGGCAGCCTTTCTTATTCATGAGTATGTGATCTTACTTAACTTACCTAACACTCTTCACCTTAATTTCCCCATGTGTGATTTAGAAATAGTAATAGTTATTACATGATGGGGTTGTTGCCAATTGTTAGAGTACCTGACACTAAGTATTAAATAGCACTTACTGTTATTAGTATCATTTTTTGGATGCCCCTATGCTTAATAAATGCTATTTGGCAATGCAGTTAGTATTATTGCAAATAACTGATAAGCCAAGCTGTCCTAATAGGAATATTAATATTTGCCTCTGCTAAAACTATCTCAGTAAAGAAACTGGTTATTAAGTTGATATAGCTTAGTGCTTCATGTTATCAAGCTGAACTAATTTTAATTTCAATGGAAATTACATATAACTATTTTATATTAGACTAACAACTACTAGAATTTTAACAGATTGCTGATGATAGCGTGACAACTAATTATTTTATGTTATAAAAAGGCAGTCTGTTGAAATCATTCCCTTTTTTGAAAAAGATGTTTTATGCAAGTTGAATATTGGCCTAAAACTTGGATTATAAATTTTAATATCAATTTGCTTGGCCTTAAGTTTTAATTTCTCTTATGATTACTTTGAGATGTTAATGCTGAAAATATACATAAACTATCTCATAAGAGATAATGAGCAACTCCTGTAGTAGATAATTTAAAACATTGAGAAGACAAAGCTCTTGTTAGTCATAAATAATAATGAAAGAAACTACTTACTAGACACATTTTAAAAAATTAAACCACCATTATTTATATAATTTGCTTTCCTTTTTTCTTTATTTTTTGTAGTGCTGGGGATTGATCCCAGGACCTCATATGTGCTAGACAGGTGCTCTACCCTTGAGCTATATCCTAGCCATCCTTTTTAAACTTAGAGGGATACATCACAGAATTAAATACTCCGTGTTTGTTGGCTTGATAAAGGAAGATTTGATTGTCCCAACTGAGGGAACTGAGCCTTATAATTCTGGTTGATGCAAAATCAAGTACACAATTATATTTGGTTTCACAGTTTTAATAGTTGAGTTTGCAAAATGAATAGTATGTAAATTTTCAAATTTTTCTTTTCTAAAATTTACAAACCAATCCCATGAGTGTAAAAATAATTGCAGTTTTTTAAATTGGAATCATTAAGGTGCAGTGCAGTATTTATGTGTAATTGTGGGATCCTGGCACGCAGAGCAGTTAAGGTTTCCCTCTTGTTATGGGTGTCATTGAGTGGGTGTTCTTGCCTGCTGGTTGGTTTCAGCACTCCATGGACTTTTTCAAGGACTGGTGCCTCTGCCTCCTCCTGTCTGTGATGTCTACTACCTTATATATATTCCAGGGCAGCCTAACAGGTAAGATGTCTCTGGGGATATGTACTGCAGTTACAAGTTTAAACATCTATACACCTAAGATTTTTCCTTTTAGTTAAAGAAGGTTTTTCTTTCTTTTTTCTTTTTTGGTTTGTTTGGTCTTCTTTTTTACCTTGCATGAGGTCACATGGGACTGAATGAGTGTGTGTTGAAATCGGACACAGACGTTTGTAGGCTTTTCATTACTTTCATATACTATTACGTGCTACTTACTTATGGTTGGCACCAGAGTCCAAATCATGGCAGAAGCAAATTTCTTTTACTCCAGCTTGGGGTTATGCTTATACATTTAAAACTCTGATGATGCCTCTGTATTTTTTTGTCTTCACTGAAGTGGCTTGAAACACCATAAAGTTCCACAGTCAGAAAGGCTAGGAATTAGATATATTGTTTCCCCATGCCTTATCCTTGGAAAGTTAAACCTACTAGTTTAAAAACTGTGAATTCATTAGTTACAACAAAAAGGA